CAGATGACCCAGAGGTTATCCAAACCTTGGTAGTTTCCAAACACCTTTGCTGTATTTAAAGTTTATTTTTTATTTTTTGTGTGTCAACCATCTTAATTTAGCATATACTTGCATGTCTTATTCAATACAAGATGAGTTTAATGGTCAACTCTCTATGAGGATTGTCGGACTTTGGAGGCTAAGAATGCTATTTTCCATGAGTTGATAGGTCATGATGGACATGGATATTGTCGCACATACAGGAGAACTGTGCCTCGGAGAGCAGTGTATAAAGATGGTGCTGGGCCATCACAGTCAACACCCTAGCCATCGACTATTGTTCAGATCACCCTGCAGGTTCATGCGGAGCTAAGGGATGAGTTGAGGGAGGAGATGCGAGCAGAGTTCTCTACACATTTACAGCAGATGAGAGCTGAGATGATGGCCTTTGTGTCACAGGGGGGAAGTGTGGATCCCAACAGACAGGTTCGATATAAATTAAATTGTTTGATAGTTAAATTTTCACACAACATTACGTATAAAATTTGAATATGATTAACACATTATGCATTGACTATCATAGGTTCCTGATGCATCGAGTGGCCACTAGGCATTTAGGGAATCTGCAGAAGACGAGAATCCATATACACCACCACCAGAAGATCAGGTATAAAATGTATCTTTACATTCTAAGCTACATTATTTGGATTCTAAGCTATGAAACTTATGAGAGAAGACGGGACTCAAATCGGGTTCCCGGATTGAGAGTTAGAGCCGGATTTCACTTTAGGCAAACTAGTTCATTAAGAAACTTGAATTCGAGGTGTTGACGTCCCAAAATCACCAAACGGGGTCAGATTGGCACGAAACATGGCACACACGACCGCCTAGGCATGAGGGACTTGTGGGAGAAGACAGGGCTCAAATCGGGTTCCCGGTTTAGAAGTTAAAGTCGGATATCACTAAAGGCAAACTAGTTCCTTAATAAACTTGAATTCGAGGTGTTGACGCTCCAAAATCACCAAACGGGGTCGGATTGGCACGAAACTTGGCACACATGACCGCCCAAGCATGAGAGACTTGTGGGAGAAGACGGGGCTCAAATCGGGTTCCCGGATTGGGAGTTAGAGTCGGATATCACTCTAGGCAAACTAATTTCTTAAGAAACTTAAATTCGAGGTGTTGGCACCCCAAAATCACCAAACGGCGTTGGTTTAGCACGAAACTTGGCACACACAACCGCCTAGGCACGAGAGACTTGTGGGAGAAAATGGGACTTCAATCGGGTTCCCAGTTTGGGAGTTAAAGTCGTATTTCGGTCTAGGCAAATTAGTTCTTTAAGAAACTTGAATTCGAGATGTTGATGCCCTAAAATCACCAAACGACGTCGGTTTAGCACGAAACTTGGCACACACGACCGCCTAGGCATGAGAGACTTGTGGAAGAAGACGAGACTCCAATCGGGTTCCCGGTTTGTGAGTTAGAGCCGTATTTCGGTCTAGGCAAACTAATTCCTTGAGAAACTTGAATTCGAGGTGTTGATGCCCCAAAATCACCAAACGACGTCGGTTTAGCACAAAACTTGGCACACATGACCGCCTAGGCACGAGAGACTTGTGGGAGAAGACGGGACTTGAATCGGGTTCCCGGTTTGGGAGTTAGGGCCGGATTTCTATTTAGCCAAAATTATTTACTTAACTATCTTTTTAATTATATAGTAGTTAATTTTTTTATGTTTTTTTGTAATTAAAATATTAACACATAATTATGTTGTCATTAATTATTTTTATTTTTTATTTTCAGATATTTCCTGAGTAACAGTTTACTTTTTGTGGAATGCAGGCGTGTGAAGATTACGACTAACTTTTGTTTTTGTAACCCACGGAAGAATCATGACAAAACTTTTATTTTTGATTTACGTTATTTAGATTTGTGAACAATATTATGTATGTATTATGCAACATTATGTGGTGGGATAATTTTACTGATGTGTTGTTATGAATGGAAGAATATTTTAATTATGGATGAATTTTTATTTATATACTAGAATTTTTATATTATTATGTAATTATCGGTTTCTTTTTTAGTTATTTTTCATTTAATACAGGTAATTTTCATATTTTAAATAATTTTATTGCATTTTTTTTTTTGAGACGGCACCACACCGTCTCAAAAAAAAATTAGAACCGGGTTTTTTGCGACGGTAGTATAGCCGTCACAAAAGATATTGGCATTAATTAGTTGAAACAAAAGACCTTTAGCGACGGTATTTTTTACCGTCGCAAATAATATTTTTAGAGACGGCATGTCTATGGTCTCAAATAACAGTTGAAACAAAGACCTTTAGCAACGGTATTCTTTACCGTCACAAATAATATTTTTAGAGACGACATGTTTGCGGTCTCAAATAACCATTTAGTGACGGTATTTTTGCCGTCGCAAATAACCCTTTTAGCGATGGCACCACAGTACCATCTCAAAAAATTCAGATTTCCACGCATTAATACCGACAGCATTTTGCCGTCACAAAAATGCATTTTTGCCATCGCAAACAAGAGACGACGGCATTATACCGTTGCTAAAACACTTTAGCAACCCCCTTTGTTGCGATCCCCTCTTGCCGTCGCTAAAAGTCAGTTGCCGTCGCAAAAAAGCTTTTAAGACGGCGTTTTGGGTATTTGTGACGGCATTTTGCTGTCGCAAAAAAATAATTTTTTTGTAGTGGCAAGAGAGAGAGAGTTTGTGTCCATGTAACTTTTTTTATGAGATTTTTTGTGTTCTTAGAATAATAGCACTAATTGAGCATTTGACAACACGAAATTCAAGTTTGAATTCAGAAAGGAAATCTGTCTTAGTTTGAAAAAAAACTTAACTAAAATTATTTCGGCTTCCAATTCCGAGCCTTTGATTCCATGGTACCGAACATGGTTTTGGAGTTCATAACATCATAATCGATTCATGAGCATAAGAACCAAAGACAAATGGAAGAGCAAACTAAAACAATACCAATCTTAATTGTTATCCAAATCTAATATAACATTTCAAGTTTATGTATTGATATTGTATTGTTTCTCCTTTAATGGTTGTAGGAGAGGGTTCAAGAAAGGAGTTGGAAAATTCGAAAATCTTTGAAGAACCTTGAAGAACAACTTCGAGTTCTCTAGAAGAAATGTGAGAGGCTTAGATTCTTCAATGGTCTCAACTCAAGAACACAAGAGTAAAGGAGATGATGGAGATAAGAGATTGGGTGAAGAAGAAAGCAAAATGGCTAGAGAAAGAATAATGGCAAAGCTCTCCCATGGATCTCCCACTTTCACTCTCAAGGTTGATAATGGAGAAAGGAAATTAGTTCTTTTCCAAGAGTTAAAAATCTCCAAAATCCATTCCTTGTAAAGCTATGGGTGGGTGCTATTTATAGGCACCTCATGATGTAGGATGGAGCCCATGTGCAAGGCACATGGGGAATATTCTCTCTAACCACCTTGTCCAGGGAGGTGACCTCTCCGAGGATGAGGAAAACCCCGAAGAGGAGATCAACCCCTCGGCGAACCCTTCTTCTTAGCCACACCTAACCAATGATCCCCAATCATCCCAAAGGGTCAGGGGTAGTCTTAGAGGACGTCCTGCCGCTAAATATTGCCGAGCCTCATGGACCCCCCGGAGCCGTGCCACCTCGACCTGGGTATAGGCTAGTTTAACCGAAGAGTGAATTTATCTCCACTCACCGTCCTCGGGATCGGGTCCTTTGTTCGAACTCCATTACGCCCATGGTTCTGGTGCGTAGATCCCGGAAAGCTCCGAGCCCGCAAGTGTTCTGGGACTCATTAACGGAGCGACTTCTAGATTGCATTTGAATCCGTTCGAAGCCAGATGCTTCGGATCTCTAGGTTCGTGGATCCGAACCCTTTCGAGTCCAAACTTTAGTAAGTCTCTAAGTTCGTAGATTCGAACCCTTTCGAGGCTTAGAGTAATTCAGCCCGTTTGATGGCGATAAATCCGGGCCCACCAATCTTGGACTTGCGATAAATTCGGGCCCACCAACCTTGGACTATTGGGCCTAATTAATTTAGCGGACTGAAATTAGCTCCTCTTACAATGGGTAAACAATGCAAAGTGTTGTCAAGGCAAAACTCAAGATTTGAATTGAAAAAACAAAAACATTATTGTAGAAGTTGGCTTACTATTCGTGATCCAATATGATCATGCATTTTGATTGCAGCCTCGTCCAGAGAGAAATTGTTGACAAAAGCAAAATCCATGTAAATTTGGGTGAGAATGCATAATAGACACAAATAGGTCTTATGTTTGACTCTCGGGGGCACAAAACACTTCAGGTATAATTGATATACCTTATCTGTATATGATTATGCAAATTTGAAGTTCATTCACCTGACAAAGTGAGTTAGTTGATTTACCCATCATAAAAAATGATCCTCGGGTTGTGGGTCCAACAATATAAAACTTATTAAATCATTTGGCATGAAGGCCCGTGACCCAACCTAGGTCCACCCAGCCGAACCCATACCTGGTCAAGGCGGGGAGCCCAAATTGGGCATGGGTCTAGGTGTTGAACCCCAACCTGACTCAACGGGCTGTGAGGGACAGCATGCAGAAGTGCCATAGAAAATAGGAAAAAAATTGAAGACAAATAAAAAATCAAAAGTAGTATAGATGTCAACTTGTTGGGCTGAGCCACAGTCAGAGGTTGAGCCTAAGGTTTTTGCCTCGGCCAACATGGCACAAAGCCTGCCGAGCTTTGCACGCATATAGGCTAGGGCACTATTTTCATGGACCTGACAGATGCCGACCCATATAAATACTCAAGATCAGAAAACATGATTAAGATAATTGCCACTTTTCAAAGCAATCACAACCCAAAATGTGAGGTTAAATGATATGATTTTCAAGCTCCCAACAGACCCTTCCCAGAAGCAATCTCAACCCAAAATGTGATGTTAAATGATGCATGATTTCGGAATTTACCATGAAAAGCACAACTAGAGAGAGAGAGAGACAACAGCTAGAGTGGAAATTTTATGAATTAATTTAATATCAAATGTTATTGTACATGTTTAATTTACACAATACGAGGAGTATATATATACACAAAGCCATCCCAACCCGCCCACCAAGCAGTCATATACCATACTCAGCAATCAGACCTACAGGTGCTAAAAATAAAGAATGCTGAAGCTTCTAGGGATGACCTCTCTCAGGTTGATCCTTCAACAGAAACCAAACCACAAGCCCAGCCAAACAGAATTCTAAATGACATTGCTTGGAATGCTTGATTCTATCTTCAATTTTACGACAGAAGTAGAAGGATCTCTGGACAAGATAAAATTCCCCCCGAGATCTTGCACACCATACTCAGCCACACGAGGGTCCATTACAATTCTGCACGTGCGTGGGGTGTCGCCTCCTAATTCGACCCCATAATACTCTAAATGGTCTGAAATGCTGTTCCCCATCACCGACCTGCACAATTTTACCATTTTAACGCGAGTCTCATGCATTAGGTAGCCACTTTTTAAGAATCTTGAACGATTTAAATGGAAGTTCGGTTTTGAACTAGTAAAGATCATTGATTACAAACGTTTTACCCACTTCAGAAATGTTAATATGAAGATCATGGAAAGGGATCACTTACCTACTACAAGACGGGTCTTCACCAGAATCATCACAGACCTTCTCAACTGGATAAACTAAACTACCAAATCCAGCATTATAAAGCCACACCTGCATTTAGAAAAAGAGTGTAATTGGTATATACATAGTTTAAAGCAGAAGAGAGCTGTACACGTTGACTACGAAAATATACGATCCCAACAACTCCAACATTAGTTTATTAATGTATAGAAATGCTTTTCACCTTCATCTATTTGTTTTCCAGGTTTTAGAGAGCTTGGCTAGAATTATTTCCAACTCATAGCCATCACTGCTCGGATCACAAAACTGTGACCTATTGACGATTTGGGTGTAAGGTTATTTTAGTCTTTTTAGTAAAGCCATTAAAGGACCTGATAGTGCACATTAGTCCACAAACTACAGGGGATATGTGCCTATTTTCAAATGACAGGGATTATGTGCACATGGATTAACCCACAAGGGGATAAAGTGCAAATTGCCCTTTTCAAAATCGTTGAATTGAATTTATATCTCTGAATCAGCATGCATTAGCTTAAGGAAAACCCAACGTACCATTTGCTGACTTATTTAAAATTCGATCTTTTGTGATAACAAAGCACATTTATTGATTCCAGCAGTTTTACTATCAGATATACATGTTTTAACTTTTAACAGCGTAAGGTTCTTCCAGCATAAGCATAGAAAAGCCAATTTTGGGATTTGGCAGAATACCTCTGTTGGGAAGTGATGGTATGTCTTTTGTGTGAGATGAGGATAGTATGGCGGTAAATGAGGGACAATATCGTGTTCATTTGTGACTCGAAATGTATTTGGCACAAGTTCGCTATAGTAAGCCACAAAAGCAGAATTGCCAATACGAGGTTGTCCAAATGTCACAACCTGAACATTCTGGGTTTCATGATTGACCTGAAAATAGGCAGACAACCCTTTATCATAATAAGTATGTGTAACGTGTGCTTAAAACTAAAGCAACATCTAAAGAACAAATCCCAGTCATAAAGCAATGCTTTGTAAAGACAAGAATCAAGAAATGGAACTTCATTTCAGACGGGTAGTTTAGGAAATTTCAAAACATTGCAGAGAGTAAGTGTTCTGTAATATAATTAGTGTCAAAAAACAGATAACTTGTTCATCTCATTCAGAACACCATAAATACAACAATTAAAAAGGACAGGCTAGTCAAACTATAAAACAAAAAAAACCCAATGTATCTATAAATACTCCAAATGAGAAGGCCACAATGGATACTACAAGAACCTTGCAGAAATTTGAATTTTCTGTGACCCAAGGCACAATATGTGCTTGCCAACAAAAGAAGGAAAATATGGAAGCAACTGTTCATGATCAGTCTTTGGACTCTATGGTTCCTATTAAATCACCACTAGTCCCAAAAGCTCTAATACCACTAATCCCAAAGGCTTAAGTTATTAGGAAAGCATCCAACAATGTATAAGCTTTCCAAAAGTTCCGTCATAATGCCAAAGACACAGACACATGATGAGCAGTTACAGCAGTATATCTAGCATCACTCATTGATGCCATACTAAAATATCTAACCAGTGCACCACATTGTCCGTTGTCTGTTCAGACATAGAGTGCATTAATGTATTTTATAATAACAAGAGTAACCCCTTGTTAACAACAGCTTCATTATGATTACCTTGAGATCCAGTGCACAAAAGGCAGCCATGGCCCCTCCCATTGAGTGCCCTGTAACCATAACATTAATGTCTCCGTACAATTTCTTTGCTCTTTTAACAGCATTTACAACTCCAGGACGTATGGTTGTGTTGTGGTAAGCAGAATAAAATCCATGGTGCACCTAAAAACAACACAAGAAGCATTTAAAAAAACAGCAGTCACTTTAACAACCTCCCCTTTCTTTAAAAAAATTATTCACAAGCAAAAAAAAAATTATTGCGACACACACCATTGCATCAGGCATGCTGGGGTAATTTAAGTCAAGCTGCTTCCAATACAGATCTTCAACCCAATTCTGTATGCTGTACACATGCCAGCTCATTCATTAAACAGTAATGAACATTGATTTATCATGAAACATAATAAAATATCTTTCTCGACGCATTAGAAAATAAATCAAAACAAAAATTTAATGTCACACTTTACAACAACTAATCTATGCCCTAAAATTCATCTGAGAGAGGGGGAGGGCATATCTCCTGAAAAAAATCAGTTACCCTCTCATGTTGCTAGTGTTCTTAAAATCTACTTCCATTTACATTGATTATGTGATATTTTTTGTGCAGATTTTTGGTAAATGTTAACATCATATTATTACTTTTTAAACAAAATAGTGAGGATTTATCTATTTTTTTATGAATGTCCTATTCTCAGCTCATTGAACGTTCTGGATTTGAAAACATTGCTCCAACAAACACAAATTATTAAGACTGTGAGCCTCTTCATACCTGTTTTCCTGTGTGCCTCGGAATGCAATCACAATAGCATTGAGATCCTTTGCCACCCCCACAAATCCCTGTGATGCACATCCATATTAATTTAATATCAAAAAAGAAAAAAGAAAAGAACTACAAGTACGACATAAATGAACATTGCCAGGGAAAGCTATTGCTTTTTTTTTTTTTAATATGCTATTATGCTATGAGAAATGCACCTGCAAGCAGTGCTCGACATCAACAATCAGCTCGATCACTTCAAATCCCTGCTTCCAACAAAAGCAACTATAATTGACAATAACTAATAATCAAAGGTTGCAACAATGAAACATCATTTTATAGCCACACAAAGCTACTCTTTCAGTTAGTTGAAACACATGATGTCAATAGTAATCATACCTCAGTCAGATCATCACATCTTGAGCACGTCCAAGTAAATAGTTCTGTCAAATCTGACAAGTACACCTGCAAGTGAAAACTTTAGAGAGATCTCTTGTACACATTACTGGAGTCAAGTACATGATTGCAAAGAATTAATTCAACAACCTAATGTTTTTTAGAAAGAAGGAGCTTAGATATAGGCGGTGTTTGGGAAGGAGGTTGAGAGGCTATTATAGCCTCATTCAAACAAATAGCCAAAAAGCCCAACTGTAGCTGAGTTTTTTTTTCTTTTTTTCTTTTTTGTTAATCCGAAACTGATGCAGACAGATTTGGCAGAATGTCATGACTGTGCAGCAGATTTGAAATTACGATTCTGCCCTTTTAATTTTGACTAACCCACTAAACTAACATAACATTCCAACACATAGGGGCAATTTAATCATTTCATACCCTAACAAAGCAATGATCGTGTACTTGCTCAACTTCTTCACGCCAGGCACAATTTTTTAGTTATAATTTAATTATTTTTTATCTCAACATCATTTCAAATACATTTTTCAATACAACACCTCAAATAAAAATTCATCCCATCTTCCCAAACACAAAAACTAAAATAGCCTACTAAAATAGCCAAAAAGACAAAAAGCCTAAAAAATAGTCACTTCCCAAACACCCACATAAAGAAGTTGTATCTCCCTTAAGAAACCATGTCACAGCTATCAACCAAGAACATAAAAACAATAACTCAATAGGCGCAGAAGGGAAGGAACGTGGCAAACATCTGATAAGTCTAATGTTGGACTCTCAAATACAGCTGAATGCGCTTGTATTGAGAAGAGCACCTCGGGACATTTAAAGACTTTTGGAGTGCTCACTAACACCTAGAGAACATCTTATGTCCTGGAAAACGAATCTGAAATCCAGAGTTGATATCCTTTTAAGATTTGAATGTACAAAACTGAAATCCAAAGTTGTGTTGACTGTATATTTACGTGGAGACTACGGTTAAAGGGTCCACATGCTGTGAAACCTCAAATCCATTTCCTCTTAAAGGTTGGTTTGGGGTGCACTATATAATCCATCTTTTTATCTTTTTATCTTTTTTCCATCACATCACCTCTCTACTTTTCTGCACATCTTTTCGTAAAAAGACAAAAAGTGCACTTTTTTAGGACACCCCAAACCAACCCTAAGTCTCAAAAAAAAAATTTGATGCAGAACTTACCGCAGAAGCATACTCCACTAATATGGTTGCAATCGTGTGATTGTAAACAGGCAAATTATCTTTGTGCTTGACCTTGAGTTCTGCATTAAAAATATGTACTTGGTAAGAAATTGCATTATAACTTTGCACAACGTTAAAAGAAAAAAGAAAAAAAAAAAAAACACAACGTTAAAAGAAAAAAAAAAAAAAAAAAAAAAAAAATTGCCAAACAAAATACAATCTAATCATGCATACTGCTTTACACGTTCAAGTGATGTCTAAAAGAAGACCAGGCATGACCAAAGAAAAACCCTGTATACAGCATGTTCATGCACATAGATTTTCAACGTGTAAAGCAGATAGATTTTGATTGTTAAATTTAAAATTTCCGAATTTTTTAGTAATACATGGTCATGCATATGCAAATCAAAAGAGGCATCTAAATGCATATTTTGTTTATGTGACAGCCATTCTGTGCTAATTATACCAAATGTTAGGTTTTTATCCAATCTATTCTCCTAAACCCCCTATCTAATGGGAACAAAAACTGACCCAGTGGTTGTACATTTATTTATTTTATGATTATGATGGGATGGCCATAAAGAAGAGAATGAGATATACTGGCCATACACCATGAATTCCAGAGGAAATGGGGAGATATAATTGCAGTCATACGTGAGATGCTTGTCCAAGTGACAGGTCTTTGATCACAGCCTGAAAAGGGGAGTTCTACGTAAACCCATTCTACTTAAAGGGCTTTCGAAGAATAACGCCAAACAGAACTCACGACCAAGATCAAGCGAGCTTTAGAAATACACAACAGACTGAAATTGTCAGATTTGCATCGCCTGCGTCATATGTTCAGTTGCCTATATCTTTCCATCACCCAAAAACCATTGAACTACATTTTTCAAAACCCAATTACCCCTCGTCCTCCTAATTTCAGTAGACAAAGATTTTGTTCCAACATTTAAAAACCCAAAATATTGAATCCCGGAGGGTTGGCTGAGTGGTAAAGACTTGATAAAAAGATCTAAGTTCTTCAGTTCGAGTCACCAAGGGCCACTAAAGGTTTGCCCGGTCATTAACTTAGGACCTGGATTAGTCAAGACACCCAATTATCAACCAAAAAGAAAAAAATCCAAAATATTGAACCTGTGTAAAACCCTCATTCTTCTTTTTCCTAACAAACCCCAACAATGGAAGCCACAATGTTCCCCAATACCTAATTTAAATAAATTCCAAGCACTCATCAACTTACAATCAACAATACAGCAAGCCCATAAATATAAATTGAAGACTAACTTGATGATAATGACTTACCTCTACTGCAAGACATAGCTAACAAGCACATCAAAATTGCAATCTTTAGCCACCTTCTTTGCTCCATATTCTGCACAAATCAAAACCCATTAATAAATATATAATTATTATAAAACCCATCAATGCAAATATCATATTATATCTAATAATCCACCAATGCCAATAAAACAACAAGTGTGCATACATACATACATACATACATACATACATGTATATATGAATATAGATCTATATGGGCCCGCCGGAGCTCCGAACCGATCTGCCGGAGACAGTTTTCCGGCGACAGTGTAGACAAAAACGACGACGGATTGCTGGAAATTGCAATGGAGATTTGGAATTGACAGAGATTGATGATGATGGAGGACAGAGAAGGATAAGGGGCTCTAATAAAGTTATCTGGGTCTTGGGGTTTTGTGTTGATGCGGTTTTACCCCTTGGGGTTGTTTCTATTGAAGTGGTTGGTGGTGTGTTATTTGGGTGGTTTGTGTGGGGGTGTTGTGGTAAATTACGTAGCGTGTTAAGGAACAGCGTGTGAGGGACGACAATGATGTAGTTGGGGAGAGTTTTGGCTGAGGGTCGATAGAGTCTGCCGTCAAACGCAACTGTATTCTGGGTCCTGGCTGACGCTGTTTGTCGTTGTCCGGATGTTCAGGCGATTTGCACGTGATACATACCTAGGGACGTATTCTGGGTCCTGGCTGACGCTGTTTGTCGTTGTCCGGATGTTCAGGCGATTTGCACGTGATACATACCTAGGGACTGTTTGGATTGTATTTGTTTTAAAAAGAAGGAAAATGAGTATTAGAGCTACCACTAATGATATGATAATGGGTCTCATCCGCTACCACAGTTTGTATTGTGTGAGTATTTTTTTTTTTTTTTTGCTTTGGCACCTCATTAGTGGTTGGTTTAGAGCCACTAAATCAGTGGTCTCTAGCACCACCGTTAAAAAGAAAGAATCAGCTTGCTTGTTTTTATTTTTCAGAAAATACTTTTCAGAAAATTCTATTTTTTTATTTTTCGTGATTTTTTGTTTTTACTAAATTTTTTTAATATTTTAAGCAAGTTTTTTACTTTTTAGACACATCTAACATAAATATACCTAAAAAGTAAAAAAATTGTAAAAAATATCTTTTAAAAATTCACTGAATACCAAAAATATAAAAAAAAAATATAAGAATTCAGTACATTTTTTGTATTTTTATGTATTTATTAATTTTTTAAAATATTTTTTCACAAATTTTTTATTTTTTAGATACATCTAACTAAGGTGCATCTAAAAAGTAAAAAAAATGTTTAAAATTTAAAAAATATTCACTAAAAACAAAAGAATACGAAAATCAAAAAATTTAATCCAAAAAACTCAAACCAAACACACTGAATGCCTTCTATGTTGCTGTTTGGCAAAAACTTTTTCGAAAATCTTTGATATATCTCGAATGGCTTGAATCACTGTTCATTAGTCGACCAGTCGGATATTCAGGTAAAACACTTATTTATCGCGGTTGTCATCTTATTGACCGCAGCTGTTAACCTTTTCATCGAACGACCGACAAAATGAAATTCAAGTCATTTAAGGCAAGCTCAAATTCAAACCACTTAACAGAGCTTAAACTTTTTTTAGTTGACTTTTTAATATTAAGACTTTTTTTAATTTGGGGCTATAAATTTCATGTGGCAAATTTTTTGTTTTTTAACTTCTATACGGAAAAAAAATAAAATATTATGATTTGAATAATATTTTGTTTTCCTAACTTATTTAACTTATTTTTATTTTTATTTTTTTTAATCCGAACTGACATAGGCAGGCGAAGCTTATGTCATTACCTTTGCAATTATCACAACAATTTATTTATTTGTTTTAAAATAATATAAATATATAAGATGTTCACGGCTCAAATTGATCCGAATTTATAAGAAATTAATAGTAACTTAGTCCTCGTTTTGAAACATATTTTTTTTAATAATTTTTTGACTTTTTATTAAAATATAATGTAAAAAAATTAATATATTTAGGGTGACTTTTTAATTTTTTTAATAAAATATGTGCAAAAAATAGAGAAACAATAAAATCTTTGATTTTTTTGTATAAGTTATTGATGTTTTAATTTTTTTAATGATTTTTTTGACTTTTAAACGAAAAAATAATATTACCAAACGAAACATAAAATGGTTTGTCTGATCTATGTAACCATATCATAATCATATTATATGAATTAGATTATTTCAATTCAATTCAATTCTAAGATTCTTAAAAATTTTATATATTAGAAGATGTATGTGTATGGATTGGTTTGGGAATTAGTTTTTTTTGGTCTTTTAATTTTTTTACAAAAACATATAAAATAAAAATAATTAATTGTTGTCAAATATTGACTAAGTGCTCTTTTGACAAAAAAACAACGTTTGTAGCTTGTTTGCTAAAAAAAAGTTATACTGACTTTTATAGTAAGGAGTCATTTCGTAAGTCTAAAAAAAATTACATATAAAATTATAATTGCATCTTTTATGTTCTTTTATATTTACATGGGTGAAAATATAAATTTTTTGCACTGGGTGAGGATAGTTTAGTCATTTTTATTACGATGTGACATTATAAATAAATATTAATCAAAAAAAATTAAAAGTAACTTTTTATCAACTTCCTAAATTACTTTTTTTAAAAAATCAAAAATTTTGTTAAAAGTCAAAAGTTAACTTTTAACCATAATCTTAAAACCCCCCTAAATAAACCAACAACAACCACTATAGTCCAAAACTAGAGGTGAATAAAATTGGATTGAGCCGAGTTGATCTAATCTGTCATTGGATTTAGGGGTTGTTTGGAATGTTCTAAATAAGTGCACTTTTTTACTTTTTATGAGATATGGGTTAGGTTTGAAGTGATGTGGTAAAGAGGACTTAAATAAAACGATGTGACTTAAATAGGATAGTGACTTTTTAACTTTTCGACTTTTTTTTAATATGTCAAACTTTTTAGCCTTAATCTAGTTCATATCTATTAATATTTTGAAATATTAACAACATTTAATTATAAAGTAAATAGCTTTTATTTTTCTTTTATTACTTGAATAATAATAATAATAATAATAATAATAATAATAATAAATAAATAAATAAATAAATTTACAATTGCAATTGGGCCCAAAAGAAGTTTCAAACCTTTAGTAATCGGGCTTTAAGATAATGCTTTGAAAAACAATGAGAAAATAACATTTTAAAATTGAACCGCAGTCTTTGTTTTTTCTGAATCATAATCAAATTGATATTACTTTGGATTTGGTTTGTGTACGGGAAAGAAATAAATCTTCTCGTATAATCTTGTTGATCAAGATTGCGCTCTTTCGTACGATGTCACTTTACTCCATGAAAACACAAACGTGAGCTAGTCGGCGGGTGTGTGCCGAATACCTCTCTAATGCCTAAGTCAGCAAAAACAGACAAATAGATAAAAAGCTCTGTGTATTCGAGAATCAAAGTTGTGTTACCTTTCCATAGGTGATATTATGAGCTTTTATAGGTTCCGTGTGGCACAATCCTAATAGGACTTTTACTCCTCCATGTAGAGTCCTCCTAAGAATCGCATTCTTGAAAGATAATGATTATCCTTCAACACCCTTCTCACTGCTTGAACGAAGTGAGTTGGTTTTACCATGGCTATGCTAAGACGCAGATTAAACCGAACTATAGCTAGTTTGGTTCTTCCTTTCACTACTCTTACCTCGGTTTCTTATGTACAAACCATGATGTGATCAGACCGAGCTAACGAACAGCAAGGTTCTGACCGAGATAACAACGATAAGCCATGACCGGGCTAACTTTGAGTACGGTGACCGGGCTATAAGCAAAGCTTCTCTAGACCGGACTAACTTCACGGTTCTTTCGGACTGGGATAACAATAATGCTTACCAGGATCGGGCTAACGACAAGCCCTATTTCATCCACCCCTTCTTACTGTAGCCCAAAGAACAGCCCATTTACCTAGCTCGGCCCATTTACCCATCTCGGCCCAATTTAGGTATAAATTACCCTCTCAATTGCCCCTTAATTCCTTCTGCATAGCATGATAGGGATTACCTGTTATCAGCTGAGCTAAAAACTTTATCCTTACGATCGGGCTAAACTCTTTAGCCTTTCCAACTGAGCTTAAAAAACCCTTTAGCCTTTCCAGCCGAGCTAAATTTACTCTGGGCTGTACCTGCCTGGTCAAAACGTCTCTTCAATCACAGAGACTGAATTGCTTCTCATTCCAAGGACACGCGGCATGCTCTTATTGGCTAAAGGCAGCTGTCACGCCGTCTTCGTACCTCGTGTTTTTTGAACAGTTCCCACATTTTTCCTTTCTCTTTTCACAAAACAAGCCCTAATGCTTTGAATCATTCACTTTACTATTCAACTTCTCTCTCTTGCGAGTCTCTGACATTCCTCAACCCTGAGCTTGCTGAGTTCGTGTTCTTTACTGTCTTTGCTTCCATCTTCAGTTTCCTCCTTTTTGACCTGGTAAGCTACTCAAATCTGTTTTGTTTTTGTTTTTTAACAATTCATGGCATATTGTTTTGTGTTTTTGCAAAACACATTTTCTGCTTGGTCATGCATTTTTCTGGAAAAAACTTAGCAATAGAACAACTTGAACGCACGAAACAATCTGTAGAAACACTGGGTTTGATCCCAAATACTATGCAACCGAACTAGGAAGTTGTTTGCTTTGGCCGTAAGCCTAGCCATACCTGGCAACCAAACTGAAACTCGCGCCATACTTGTAGCTTCCTTAAGTCAAACCACAATTTGTTTCAACCAGCTGAACTACCGAATTGCGCTAGATCTGCGCAATGCCACATTAGAGAGCCTCAACGCTGACCGAGCTAAAAGTTGGGACTGGACCAACTTCCTTAGTTAAAACCGGACTAAGAAAGCTGTCCCAAAGGCTCGACCGAGCTAAATCCCTTCGCTCAAATGGAGCTAAAACTGCGTAGCCGAACTAGGGCTTTATTTATCTTGCCTTTGTTTCTTGTAGCACGGTCCAATGATCAGTGCTTAACACTTCTTTTTTTTACTTTGCAGACTTAGGTTGCCTAGGCATTCCCTTGAGCGCTCAACCGAGCAACTCAGAATCATTTTTCCACCGAGCTAACACCCACATATAATTTATTCATAACTTAAACCACAAATGGGAAAGTATAGGTTTTTAGTTAACTCTCCTGGTGCGATGGCTGAATTTCGCAAGGACTACCAAATCCCAGATGATGTCCACCTTTCACTGGCCGAGCTAGACATCATCCCTTGGGGAAAGCAAGGCTTTGTCCCTTTTAATGTTATTTCAATCGTAGAGTGCGGTCTACGTTTCCCTATACAGCCCCTCCTCTGTGAATTCCTTAGGCAAACCAAACTCTGCCCTACCCAACTTTCCACTAATTCATACCGTATAATAAACGGCATTGCCGCGCTAAACGACCGGGCTGGTCTTAACCTCGGGCTAGCAGAACTCTTTCACCAATATTCTATAGGATCCGCCGAAGATGGATGGGTTTATTATTTAAGAATTAGACGCCGGCGTGAAAAGATAATAAA